CGGTGCTCTTCATTAGCCCTACTCTTGGGGACATGGGCATCTACATGACGGACCCTCACAGACAGTTTCTCTACCCTGGTGGCGATGTCCTTCCACTCATCAGCAGCCCAGATTGGCTTTCCTCTGCGTTGCCAGTCGGCCCTTTTCCACCTTTCCAGCCATCCCCACAGAGCATTGGCTACCATCCATGAATCAGTGTAGAGGTAGAGTTTTGGCCACTTCTCTCTTTCAGCAATGTCCAGGGCCAGTTGAACAGCTTTGAGTTCAGCAAGTTGGCTTGATCCACCTTCTCCTTCAGTGGCCTCTGCGACCTGTCGTGTGGGGCTCCATACGGCTGCTTTCCACTTCCGGTTCATCCCTACGACGCGACAGGAACCATCAGTGAACAGAGCATAGCGTGTTTCTTCTGCTGGCAGTTGGTTGTACGGTGGAGCTTCTTCAGCTCGTGTCACTTGTTCCTGCTCCTCTTCATCAATGAGACCAAAGTTTTCACCTTCCGGCCAGTTTGTAATTATCTCCAAAATCCCAGGGCGATTTGGGTTTCCTATACGGGCGCGCTGCGTGATGAGGGCGATCCACTTGCTCCATGTAGCGTCGGTGGCGTGGTGGGTAGAGGGAACCTTTGCTTTGAACATCCACCCCAGCACTGGCAGTCGGGGTGCCAGGAGGAGTTGTGCTTCTGTGCCAATCACTTCTGAGGCGGCTTGAACTCCTTCATAGGCAGCTAAGATTTCCTTCTCTGTGGGAGTGTAGTTGGCTTCGGACCCTCTGTAGCTTCGGCTCCAGAATCCCAGTGGTCGGCCTCGAGTCTCCCCAGGCACTTTCTGCCAAAGGCTCCAGGACAGACCGTGGCTCCCGGCTGCAGAGTAGAGCACGTTCTTCACGTCTGGTCCTGTTCTGACTGGGCCAAGGGCTACTGCATGGGCGATCTCCTGTTTGATCTGAGCAAAGGCTTGTTGTTGTTCAGGGCCCCACTGGAAAGTGTTCTTTTTGCGGGTGACCAGGTAAAGAGGGCTCACAATCTGGCTGTACTCAGGAATGTGCATCCTCCAAAAACCTATGGCACCTAGGAAAGCTTGCGTTTCCTTCTTGTTGGCTGGTGGAGACATTGCTGTGATCTTGTTGATGACATCAGTAGGAATCTGACGCCGTCCATCTTGCCACTTTACCCCCAGGAACTGAATTTCACGAGCTGGTCCCTTAACTTTGCTCTTCTTGATGGCAAAACCGGCTTTCAGGAGAACCTGGATGATTTTCTCTCCTTTCTCAAAGACCTCTTCAGCCGTCTTTCCCCAGACAATGATGTCATCAATGTACTGCAGATGTTCTGGAGCCTCACCCTTTTCCAGGGCAGCCTGGATCAGTCCATGGCAGATGGTGGGGCTGTGCTTCCACCCCTGGGGCAGTCGGTTCCAGGTGTACTGCACTCCCCTCCACGTGAAGGCAAACTGAGGCCTGCATTCTGCTGCCAGAGGAATGGAGAAAAATGCATTGGCAATGTCAATAGTGGCGTACCACTTCGCTGCCTTGGACTCCAGCTCGTACTGGAGCTCCAGCATGTCCGGCACGGCAGCGCTCAGCGGTGGAGTCACTTCATTCAATGCACGATAGTCCACAGTCAATCTCCATTCTCCTTCAGATTTACGCACAGGCCAGATGGGGCTGTTGAAGGGTGAGTGGGTTTTGCTGACCACCCCTTGGCTCTCCAGCTCTCGGATCATCTTGTGGACGGGAATCACAGCATCTCGAGTTGTTCTATATTGTCGGCGGTGCACCGTTGAGGTGGCAATTGGTACTCGCTGTTCTTCCACTTTTAGGAGTCCTACTGCAGATGGGTTCTCTGACAGTCCAGGCAAAGTGTTCAATTGCTTGATGCCCTCTGTCTCTACAGCTGCTATCCCAAATGCCCACCTAAGCCCCTTTGGGTCCTTAAAATACCCACTTCGGAGGTAGTCTATGCCCAAAATGCATGGGGCCTCTGGGCCAGTCACAATGGGGTGTTTCTTCCACTCATTCCCAGTCAGGCTCACATCAGCTTCCACTAAAGTAAAGTCCTGTGATCCCCCTGTCACACCAGCAATAGAAACAGATTCTGCCCCTACATATCTTGATGGGATTAGGGTGCACTGTGCACCAGTGTCAACCAAGGCCTCATATTTTCGTGGTTCTGATGTGCCAGGCCAACGAATCCACACAGTCCAAAAGACACGGTTTTCCCTAGCCTCTACCTGGCTAGAGGCAGGGCCCCTCTAAGCCTGGTTATCCTTCTTTTCTTGGGTATATGTCTTGGAGGTTCCTTCAAGGGAGTCAGACATGTCATCATCATACTTGTCAGTTTGACTACAGGCTACTGGAGCGGCTTTCTTTTTGGTAGAGTATCCCCCCTGAGTCTTGCTGTCTTCCAATTCAAGCATCCGTTTTGCCAGAGCAGCAGTAGATTTTCCATCCCATCTTTTCATGTTTTCTCCACAGTCACGTAGGAAAAACCACAGCTCAGCTCGTAGCTTTTTCTCTCTATCTGGGGAACTTCTGCGTTGAGTACCAGGGCTCCTGGTCTGTACTGCCGAGACTGGAAGAAGGTCCTCCCTGAGTTTCTTGAGATTCTCCTCTATTTTGTTTTGGAAGTTTTGCATATCTGTTCTCACAGTTGCAATTGTTGCCTGCATGGGGCCATGCACGGTATCTGCATATGCTCGAAGCTTCTTCGCCATATCCAGCACAGTCTCCTCCCGGTCATCCCGCTTCATTGTTGCTAAAGCAGAAGCGTATTCTTGTGGCCCAAGTCGAACAAGTTTTCGCCACATCACAGATGTACATGGCACCAAGTCTGGATTTCTAGTACCTAAGTCACCCACAAAGACAATCTCTACTATTGCCATTTCTCTCAAACGCTGAATGCCTTGTTCTATGGTTTTCCAACGAGTTTGCTGTATATAGAGATCGTCTGCACACAGATATCTTTGTGCCACGCTTCTTAGGACCCGTTCCCAGAGACTATAAGGGTCAGCCCCCCTCATCATCTCCTGGTCAATAACCGGATCGTGTGACAGGGACCCCAGATGCCTCGCTTCAGTGCCATCCAGAACTGTAGCCTCACCTGCAGCATCCCACAGACGGACTAACCAACTAATTATAGATTCATCAGCTCGTCGAGTGTAATCTTTTCTCAGGCCACGAAGGTCCTTCAGGGAGAAAGGTTCACCAGTGCCTTCTGATTTTTGATCAGTTGCTGGTCTTGAGGGTCCTTCCCCCGCATCACCATTATCATCATCTACTGGCCGATCGGTTTTGGTTTTGAATTTCATGCCTCTCGTGGCAGGAGCAACAGACACTGGCTTAGGCTCACTGTCTGGTTTGGCTGCTGGCTTGGCTGCAGCCTGAGTGACTGGGGTAGCTGCTGATTTATCTGCCTGCCCTACAGTATCTAGCAGCGTGCGATAAGCATACGCTAGGGCCCAGCTTATTGCAATGATATTTTTCTTCTTAGAATCATCACAGCAATTCTCTTCCAGATATTTCCCTACTTCATCTGGGTTCTGAATTTGTTCACGTGAAAATTCCCAGGCTGGGGGATCAGAAAATTCCTTCAGAGTCCGGCCCATTCTCTCCCATTCTCTACACCACTCAGGATTTCCCACACCTGAGTCTACTTCTGGGGCAGGGGTCTCGTTGGCTCCTCTGGATATCTCAGCCCTCACTCTAGAGAAGTTGCAGACCATATAGAGGAAGCTCAACAGCTGAACTACCAGGAAAGTGACCAGGAATGTGGTATCCTTAACACTCAGGGGAAACTGGATATTCTCAAAGAGGGACATAACAGATTCAAAGGAGAAGAAGGAAAGAAAAGGCTGAAAAGCCTCATCCCCTGGTCTTCCTCTAACAAACTGGGTGCAATTACCAATAAACTCCCAAAATGTGCTACTGGGACTGGGAGGCAGGGTCGGGCGAAGAAACCATAAACCAAACATACCTGACAGAAACTTCAGTAGTTCTATAAACTTCCTATAAATCATTATCACCGAGCCCAGCACAATAACCATTCTAATCCGTGCCCCTCTACTGTGAAAGAGGGCAAAGACAGGTATTAAAACCTCAAAAACTTTTAGGGACCAGGTCCACATGAAGGCCTCCACCCCAAGAGACATTATGTATCCAAACAACATGGCTACTGACTGCTTTATCCCAATACAGAATAAATACAACCAACACTCAGTACAGGTTTTTCCACTTTCTCTTGTCCCTGTTCGGGCGCCAAAAAAACTGTATTTGTCTTAGTTTAGGGCAAATTAGGAAGGAAAACTCCAAATGGGGATTTCCCCAGGGAAATGCCCCTCCCCACTAACTGGTCCGGGAAAAAAAAAAAAATTCCTTAGAGAGAAGTGGAAAAAGCTGTTTATTTAACAGAAATTGAGTAATATTAAATAATAAAACCTCTTGCTGTTCGATGGGATGGCAAGTCTAGGAAGGAAAGTCCTTTTCATGTGGTGTAGCTCGGCTCGCTCAGGTTCTTATCAGTCCCTCCGGCGCTGGAAAGTGCCGAGGCCCAGGCCCCGGTGGGCCACAGGCGTGAGCTCCCGGGGTTTGGCTGGGTGTTCAGTCCAGAGCAGGCTTGCACAGATCCAAGAAAATTGGGAAAAAAACAAACAAAGGTCCAGGGAACTCCTCTGCCTCAGCTAGCTAAAACTAACTAAAAGCCAGAGAGAAGCTCTGTCCCGCTGTCTGTCCGTGCTGCAGACACCACAGTCCAGGAGCGGGATGTGTGGGAGTGATGTTTTTCCTTAACACAAACTGCGCGCTTCTTCTTCCCCCTCTCTTGCTCTCAAAGCCAGTCTTAAAGGTGCAGAACTTAATATATAACATAAACCAGACGATTGGGGATACCAGTATCATAAAGTCACCCCAGGACAGTGATCTCGGAGTTTTCTGGCAGTGTTTGGTATGGTGTGATGTGAGGCTTTGAAGATGAACATGGGAGCTGATTTCTTTCTGTTCTTTCCTAGGTGATGGGTGTGGACACACCGTGCTGGGCCCTGAGAGCGGGACCCTGGCCTCCATAAACTATCCCCGGACCTCTCCCAATAGCACTGTTTGCGAGTGGGAAATCCGTGTGAAGCCTGGGCAGCGAGTTCAGCTCAAGTTTGGTGATTTTGATATTGATGACTCAGATTCCTGTCATTCCAGTTACCTGAGAGTTCATAATGGCATTGGCCCCAACAGGACAGAGATAGGTAGGAGCTTTAATTATCCCTATTTTAGAACTGTTGTCTTGTATAGAGCTCAGATGTACTGTTGGTACTTCTGTTACTTTTTAGCAACAGCTGTATGATAAATGCAACACAGATCCTGTAATACCCTTGGATTCTTGAGATTCTTAAAGGAAGCTCCACTGCAATGTGGGGTTTTTTTCTCAGACATTTCTTAGTAGCTTGCAAAGTTATTGTGAGCAGTGAAGAGGGAACTTTAAAGCTAGAACTTTCATTAAAAAAAAAAACCAACACATCATATATGTCTATATCTTACCTGAAATGCCTTTCTTTTTATATGGTTTCACTCTGATTTGAGCTGTTCATCTGGGTGATGTTAAAGGGTGACAGGCTTCAAAAGGTGTGTAGTCTGAATATCCTCCATCTTCTGAAAATGTTCTTAGTTTAATTTTTGTTCTCTTCAAGAGAATTTAATGACTCAAAGTCAGTGGGTTTCTTTCCAAATAGCAGTGTGATGTTATCAACTCCATCAAGGTGTATGTATAGGATGTTAGTACTCTTGTGGTTACTTTGCATAAAACTCAAAATGAATTGTCATTCTTCCTTCTCTAAAATTAGTTGCTATTACACAGATTAACTTTATTTTCTTTCCTAAAGCTTTAAATTGGAGAGAGAGATTTACTTCACTGAGATTGTTTTTGTGCAGTTCAAATGCTGATCCTGCTAAATTGAGTCTTTGTTAAAGAGGCTAGTGGAGTGCTAGTTTTATTAACCCTCTTTTCCAGCTGTTACCTAGGTAAGTGTGTGTGAAAATAAGTATGTGCTTGGAGCTGTTGAGCCAGACTTGGTCTAAAATAGGAAACACTGAATGCCTTAAATGGCAAGGAACGTCAAGTTCTGATAAGTCTATTACTCACTTTTACAAGGGACTTAATGGGTTCAAGTAAATTCTTGCTTCATTTGTTTCCCTTGCTTTTCAGCTGTGGCCTGCTGGTGTAGCAGCACATTATGTTGAGGAAATGTGTGTGTTGTTCTGCTCTTAATAAATTAAATCACAGGAAAAACAGTGATGTTAACAGTGGCAAGTACAGATGAGGCAGGGTTTGGGCTTTTTTCATCTTTGAATCGACAGTCACTGGAGAGATTAAACAGTGACTTAAATTTTTTTGGGAGAAATCTGGTCTTATCCTAAGTCTTTCCATTCAGGACTACTGACATGGTCTAACATTAAAATGCTTGTTTTACATAAAATATGAAATTCAGTCATACCTTTTTTAACCCTAAATTACTTAAAAGTTGTCTGGTTACATTAAAAAATAAATTGTTAGTGGGTTCATTGATAAACTGAGAGAGTTTCTAATAAAACTTTTAAGGGCTGGTGCCTGTTCCAAGCCTGTTGAGTATTTATCAAGAAATCAAAAGAAGATTCAAATGCTCAGTGTTGGGTTTGTCTCTAGTATAAGTAAGATCCAGAGGAATTTGTAAGATTTCAATACAGTCAAATCACTGTGCATCTGCAGTCAGATGTCCTTATTTAAGACATGGGAGTTCCCTCAGGATCCTTCAATGCATGAGTACAGACAAAATAGCAATATTGCATCTTCTGCACATACAACTGACAGAGGTGTCACTGCAGTCATGCTTTTTCCATTCCTAGTGCTTGCTTTTTAAAATATTGACAAAAATCAGGCGAGAGGCTAGGGAAGAGATAGAAAAATGGTTTATAGTCTTAAAATGTGCCTTGCCATGAATCATAAGGTGCCTCACTCTGTAGAGTTTGTCAAACGCCATGTGTCCCTGGGGTAAGGAGCACTGGAGATTTTATCCAAGCTGGATATAAATGACAGGTGTATTTGTCTGAAGAAGTGGATAAATGTTGTTTTGACAGGATGATGGTCATTAATGTAACAAAGTCCAGTGACTGAAAACAAAGCTTAAAAACAAACAAACAAACAAACTTTTCTGGTTTTTATTAGAAGATACCATTGCTTTGTTTAAAAAAAACCAAAAACAACTGAATAAGCAACATCTAGAAAGCTTTGAATAATGACAGGAATTTGTATTTTAACTTTTAAAATATTTTGAATTATTTTGTTAGTGTTTGCAGTGCAGTTCACTTTTTAAAGGAAATTTACATACATATTGTATTTATTTTGTATTATATTTATTAAGAACTATTCCTGCAGGTCTATGTTACTCCACTTCCTCTACATTAGTACTATAATTTGCTTTTATTTGAGAAGGGAGTCTTGCCTCTTTTTCTGCTGTTTTACAATATGATAACATACTCATTATGAGGAAAGCCACTGGAATGATTACTGCTGGCGACTATTCACTTTGCTTATCCAGTGCAGAATCTTAAATAAGGTTATAGATGGTTTCTACAATATTGAATGATCAAGGTAGCCTGTAGAACAGAAGATTATTTTTTTTCTTAACAAGTTAATTAACTGGTCAGTATCTTTACTAAAGCTTCTAGTTAGAAGGACTGGAGAATTCCATATTGACTGCTCATGTATTTGCTTTTGAATACACACCAGAGCTAATGTGAGCCTACACTGCAGATGAAATAAGAGACTGGAAATTGAATAAGATACTTATTACATGTGTTGTTTTGGATCAGTATTTGTTTCCTCCTTCTCTCCACAGGAAAATACTGTGGGTTTGGCTTTCAAATGGATGGTTTAATTACTTCAAAAAGTAATGAAGTCACAGTACAGTTCATGAGTGGAATTCACACTTCTGGACGTGGATTTCTTGCATCTTATTCAACCACTGACAAATCAGGTATTTATAATTATTTGGTAATTTTTCTCTGCTGGCAGAATTAGACCTGTCTAGTAAAAACACAGAACCAGTTCATTTACTCCTACATTCTCACAAATTAACCTGTAAAAATTTAGTACCCATTTTATGATACTTCTGTGTAGGAAATTTGACTGCCAGTTACCTAAATGTTGCTGTAGTTTTAAAGAAATGCTATCAAAGCTTACCTTGAGTAGCAGAGTAAAAATGTCAGTTGTCTGTTATAAATGAAAGAACTGCTTCAGATTCAGGACAGAATGAATTTTTTCATGCAGTAGTCGAGGTGGCAGATAGCTAACAATTTTTCTTATCAAACAGGTTATGTTTTATACAAACTAACATCGTAGAAATTTTTATTTCAGTAGCAGCATCCTGTACTCCTTTAGCGCTTCAATGACATAATCAGCTGACTAGTTTTTGGGTTTTTCTTTTTTTTTCCCCCCTGGTTTTCTTGTTTTTCCCCCTTTGTTTTAAGCCTCTGAGAGAGGTTGCTGTATTTGTTTTGCATCTCCTTCCACTCATTGTAAAGGTGAGTGATATAGATTGTCTGCAAGGAGATGAAGGAGCAGCAGCAACTGCCTCAGAAGGCAAAAACCCTATCTGGAAGTTATTCTAAACAGAGCAGATAAAAAGTTTCAATTTTTAATTTTGTAAGGTTTTTGATTCTTTCCTCTCTGTATTTTGCACTCTATGTGTTGATACACAGCAGACACAGACATGAAGTTTGTGGTATCAGTCATGGATGCCAATAACACAGGATTCTAACATTTATTCTCTGTGGTGCTTGGGTTCAGCACTGCAGAACCATTCAATGATGAAAACACAGGCCTCTTCAGCTTATTAACTTAATTTTGTGAGAAGAGCATATGTTTCTGTCTCTGATTTATCTCTGAAATATATAATTTAATAATATTTAAATTAAAATAAAGCTACACAGAAAATGAATTTTTGTAGTATTATCTTGTGTCATATTTTCAGTAGATTTCCCAGTTACTCAGACAAATTAGCAAGGTTCTACTGTAATACAAAAATCTGTTGCATGAAAATTTACTAGGAATGTGGGTTTTTTTTGTTCTGAGACTTTTGGTTAAGCCTCAGAGGCTCAAATGTATGTATTTGTGCACTTCAAAAAGCATATTCAAGCTTGTTGTCTATATCATCCTCTTGACCTAACATTTTTTCTTTCCAGACTTAATTACCTGTTTAGACAATGCAAGTCACTTTTCCGAACCAGAATTCAAGTAAGACTGATTTTTACCTGTTTCCCTCCCAGTCTCTTTAATGAAGTTATTTTAGTGTTTCTACTTTGCTTTGTTACATATATCTGATGCAGCTTGAAAATTTGCCATCCAGAGAACTTGAGACACAAACCAATTAGAGCTGAAGAATTTTGAAATTTGCACTCCTCCTTCCTTCTCCTGTCTCTCCCATTTGTGTTATTTACATCCAGTATGCAGTAGAACCTCGTTAATTTGCATTGACACATAGGAGCTAATACCTCATTTCCACAGAAAGAGTATTGCTTTTATAAATATATTATAGCAGGTATACAAGTTAATTACTGAAATTTGTATTACAGTTACCTAAGGAGCACTAAGTCACGAAATGTGTTACAAATTGCAAACCCATTTCACAGTTTGCTGCTCATTAATGAGGTTCTGTGGAGACACAGAATGCTGCACATTCTGGTGGGGGAAATGTGTAATTTCCCTGTTGTCTCCTCCCCCATTTTCATCTAAAGCAAGGGCAGTGTTTAAAGCTGCAGGCTGTCGTGAAGTATCTAAATTTACTTTTTGGAGAACTTAGACGCTGGCAACATGAGACATTCCAAAGTGCAATCTTTGCATTTCTCTTTAATTTTCCCAGGTTCCAAAATAGGGCTCTAGTTGTAGGTTCTGGCCTTAGTGAACATGTGACAAAATCTCTGAATCCCCATTTTCATGGAACCTATAGTGTTGTTTCAGCTGTTGCTGAGCCATAGTGAAAATGTTGATGAGTTTACTCCAGTTCACTTTTAACTCTTGAAGATGTAATAATTTCATGTGTGCAGTATGAAATCGCCCTAGAACATGAACACAAGCTTGCTCCAGAGGTGCTGGTGTCTTGACTCTTGCTTTTTATGAGCTAGTGGTAATTTGGCCTGTTTTTTATGATCAAAACATTGCCAAAAGTTTCAGATGTTGTATTTAAGGGTGCAAAACAAATAGATATGCAGGTCTGTAGTTCATAAAATAAAATCCATTAATATTGTTACTTATATGACTTTGAATCGATAGGAACCATGTAGTATTCATATTATAAAATGTTGGCTTTATTAGTTCATCATATTGAGACTGGAACTGTACTTTCAGCTGAGACTTGCTTTAAAACATTTTCAAATGTCTGTTTTCCTGTTGTGTACTTGTATTTTTGGTCTGATTTAATAGGTCTTCAATTAGGAGATATCATTACATAGAGATACATGAATAGCAGTGTGTTATAAATCAAAACCATAACTTTTTTATAAAGGTAAGAGAGTTGTAGGTGCATGCATATCCTGACTTGATATTGTGTTCTATTTCAGTAAGTATTGTCCAGCTGGATGTGTGATTCCTTTTGCTGATATTTCAGGCACTATTCCTCATGGATACAGAGATGTGAGTAACAATACTACGGGCTTAAGTGAATTTCAGTAAAACGCGTGATGCCTAATACTAGTCAGTTGTAGTTGTTGGCATTAGTTGTGCTTCCTGGCTGCTGGGATTTGTACCTCCCAAAAGTGAATAACATGCTACTCATTTTTTAGCACTGGTGCCAAATGACAGGTGTTCAGATGTTGCCATTTCCAAGAAGTGGGGTACTGTAGTGGAGTCTCAAATACTTTCGTAAGTCCAGCAGGGAAGGGTGGATCAATCAAAAGAGTGGGGTTTTTTTCTACTTCCTGTTTACTTTTTGTTGGTTTTCTCAGGCTGAGAAATTGAAATTTATAAAGAACCAGTTATTTTAATGATGTCCTCTTGTTTTTGACACTATAATGCCTCTTTCAGCAGTGTCTTAGTGGTTATCTTAATTTTTGTTACACTTGAGAGATGAAATACTGAGATTTATGCTCAGCAGCTATAAAGTAATTTGCAAAACAAAATTAATACTCTAACAGTAGTTCTATAAATTGGTAATGAGCATCCTTATTAATGTACTATTCACTTAAAACACTACAGAACCCCATGCAGTATTTTTCTACTGTAAGCCTTTGCAGGTGAATTAATGAACTTGCCATAGGTTGGGAGGATGCTTGCTTTGTTTATTTTTAAGTGATTATAGTTTTGCTAGCAGTCTACTAAAAATTATGTTAAATCCCTTATTTTTATGTTAAAATACTCTTAATAAGCCCTTAGATCTAGCACAGAGGTAAGACAATGTAAAAATATTAGTAAGCAAAGATTTTAGTATTAAATACAAAGTTAAAATGTGCCTGTCTGGGTTTTTTTTTTTACCAAATATTCATAAATCACAGGCTACTTCCTTAAACAATCACCCCCACATAACAATGTCACCACAGCGTGTAACTGTGTTGCATGTTCTGGTCCACAGTGAGTCCTCACTAAATGGCTGCAAGGTAATTTTTGTAGCTAGTAACAAGATGAAATTGATTCTCTGCCTCACAAATTTTCAGCATCTGTTGGATATCTGCTTTTTGAGAGTTTTTTGTCAAAATCTGGAATAATTGTTTTCTATAGAGGAAAACGAAACCTTTTCCTAACAAAACGTAAGGAAATAAATGCCCTTGTGACTTTCTTTTTGTATACTTCATTGCTCAAAAAAGGCACAGAATTTCCCAGCAGTCAGGCTGTGTGGAAATAAATGAAATTGCTCAGCACTTTAGACAAAGTTTCAGGTTGAGGTTTCTCATGCATCTCTTTCAAATGTATGGGAACAGGTGGCTGCTTTATAAAATATCCAAGATCTTGATTTTTTCCTTTGTGACCCTAATGTCCACTGTCCTTGAGGGCTCAGAGCTCTCACTGCTGACATCTGGTGAGCAGGGAGGAGAGAGCTGCATCTCCTACAGAATCCCATGCTCTTACTTCAATGGAGAGGGGAGCTGTGTTGATCCCAGACCTGCTGGATGTGAGCTTACTACTCTTGGCAAGCCTGAAGGACTGGGTGTGATGAGTGCTGCTCACTGTGGCACCTGAAAGCCAGGGAAGTGTCACTGTGACATTTGTTAGCAGATTCTGTCATCCAGGGAGAGAGGGCAAGAGCATGATAGCCTGCAAAAACATCTTTTGTTACTGATCTTCACTGACTTGTACAACATAGGTAATTGACTTGTTTAGGATGAGTTGTATGCATGTGTTACTGTGACTTTATGTGGATCAGTGTGCTGGATGGTTAAACCATTATTAACCACAAGTTATGGTCAAAAATACAACCCCTTGGCTAAAAGCTACAAAATCTGCAGTGCATCACCCCTTAATTGTGAGAAAATAAAACTTTCAATATGTTTTCTATTAAAAGGTTTTCTATGTATTTACATCTTCTGTTGTTTAATATAATTTATTATAGGCTAAGCCTTGCTGTCTGGCTTTTTCAGACTGATTCACCTTGGTGTTGGTTTGAGGTTATTTAATTACAACAGTTACATTTTACCTATATCTGGGTGAGGACGTGGTGAGATGTAGGGCCTTCTTCTTGTGTTTTTAGAAGTTCAATAATAAATAAAGATGGTTTCTAGATAACCAAGATAGCAATTAACTAAGAATAATATTTTAATGTAATAATAACAAAGACTGTAACTGGACAGTGTACCATTTACAATATGTTGCAAATTGGTGGTGTTTAATTTATTCACTTAGTAGTATGAAATTTTTCTTTCCCTCCCTTCTTCAAGTCATCATCACTTTGTATGGCTGGTGTTCATGCAGGCGTCGTGTCAAATACTCTGGGTGGTCAAATTAATGTTGTAATCAGCAAGGGCATTCCATACTACGAAGGCTCCTTGGCTAACAATGTCACCTCAAAAGTGTAAGTGTATTTCCTAAAATTTCCTTATCTTTAGCACTTTAGGTCTTGGTAATGTCTCATTGTGGGATTAATCTCACCTCGTGGAGCTACATGTTTCCTGGACAGGTTCTCTTCTCTAAGTTTCTCACACTTTTGCTGTAGTGAATTGTTTTACCAAATACATTTAATCTCTAGACCAGAAATTTTCATTTTCCAAATTCTGCAAGGATCTTTTACCCTCTTGGCCACAAATTGCTACTGGTAAATGGAAAAATGGTAATTTAATGGTGGCTTTTCAGTGTCAGGGAAAGAGTGTAGCTTGTCATTGTATATCAAGTTCTAGAGATGAAAGCAGTCACAGGAGACTGATTTGTGTTGCTATGATTAGTTTAATTTGAAAAGAAAGCATTTGAATGAAGTCTTGCATTTTGCTAGGCTGATGTTTGTTTGAAGACCTTTAAGCCAGTATCTCTGGACTTGGTTTTATTTGAGGTGTTTGTACTGAAAGCACTGCAGGATGTGTTAATCATTGTTTGGGCATATGTGCATAGGTTTCAGTGCAAGCAGTCAGACAAGAAAAATAAATTGAAGATAGTTTGTTTCAGTTTTTCTCACTGGGTACTGCAAAACATCTTTTTTTTTCTCTGCAGGGGACCCTTATCTACAAGTCTCTTCACCTTTAAGACAAGTGGTAAGTGTTATCATGTGTATTACATATTACTGCTTTCATGCAAACTTTGTGAATGGAAATAAGGATGCACATGTTTGATTTCTTAATTTTTGTTCTCATTTGTGAGACCTTTTTTTAGTGCATTCCTCAATAATGTATATTTTTGAATTGTTTTACTATTGCAATTTGATGATTAATCATCACTACATTTGTGGGTGATGTTTCAAGTAAGCCTTGCTTATCTGTGGAAATAGATTCTTTCAGGCTAATTAAATAAATTAGCTGTAGTTTTCTAAGTGGAAGCTAGTTTCTCTGTAAGTCACTTTAAATGCCATCTTTGAGTGGATATTGGAAATAATGTGAAGACAGTGGCCTTTCTTAGTATTTTTAACTGTTTTAATAACAATATAAAAACCATAAAACCATCACGTCTGTTTTTCATAAAGTTAAAAAAAGAAGAGAGGAGAAATCACACACATCTCAAAAGTAAACAAATACTTTTCCTAATACATAAATAAAAGGCACACTGAATGGGGACATAAAGACAGGAATCTGATGGGCAGGAGCGTTTGATGATGGCAATGTATAAATAAACAAAAATTAGAAAATATAGTGCACATAGTATTAAAATTATTTCTCTCTCAGATGCCTAGAAGAGCTGAGAGAAGGAATTACATATCTAGTGTCTTTATGCATAAAGAATATTAAACACAGTGATCCAGGCAGGGTTTTCTGGTTTTTTTGTCTTTCAGAACGTGATCTGATAGTGTGTATGAAAGTAATGAAATGGCCTAGAAATTGGAAGAGATAGGACAAAGTGGGGACTTTGTGGATTTCAGTGACGCCTGAGAAATTATTGAATACGCTAGAGATAAGATGCAAGTCTAGATTAAAATGTCTGTAGCTGGGTTGCCTAGGAGTTAGGTGAGGGAAAAAAAACCTGTAGTATGCTCAAATGAGGTTTATCAGACGGTGGTGAAGGTCCTCGTGTGTTCCTGCTGTTGTAGCTGGTTTCATGACTTGGTATGAAATAGAAGAGTGTGTTATTAGTGCTAAAGGCATGGTCAGTGCACAGGGAGATGAGACTGCTTATACAGGAAGAACTGCCTGACTTTGAGGCTCAATAGAAGTTACCTGAAGCATCACAGAGCAAAGAGGGGAATGTAGCAGGTATTTAGAGACTGAAGCATTTCTGTTTCACAGTGGCAGGATGTTAGATGGAAAATGACAGATGAGGGAAAGGATTCCTTTAGTGAAGAGCTCCTGTGCTGTGGCAGGTGATGTACGTCGAGCAGAGACAATAAACTATTAATGCCATCTCACAGGACAAGGGCAAGACTTTCTCTGGGATCCAGTCACACGTGGGCTCTGCCACCTGTGCCTCCCTTGAGGGTGAGTGCCCACCTTGGTGCAGAGGGGGCTGCAGGGAGAGTGGGAGTTCACAGGAGAAGGGAAACTAGGCTGGGTTGTTCAGCCTGCCAGCCTGAAGGCAAATATTGCTCTCTGCTGATCCTTCTGGGGACTATGCATGTGAGAGAGGGAAGCTGTTGGTATTACAGAACAAGACATTTACAGAATAAGAAATGAGATGTTTTTTAGCCACCAGCAGAAGGCAACATGGGAAGAAACATTTTGTAAGAATGGTGACCAGAAAAATGTAACTAGTTTCAAGGATGTGTTTCATTTCAAGGCCAGGATTATGACATAACTTCCTACATGCTTTGGTTTTGTTCAAATGAACACTGTGACACTGTGGTTGGTTTAAAAACTTAAGAAGTTATACAGACACAAACCAGGAACAAACGAATCAGTAGTCATTCCTGCATCAATCATAGATACTCTTAGACCATGAAGGTTCCCTGGTGCTTCTCATTGAGTGCTCTTTGTGAGTGGTGACCAGGAGAATATCCACATTACTCTTGGAATAGGCACAAATCGTGGCATCCTTATGACTAGTTTGGTTTTAGCATCCCTGTTAGAAAGCAAAAGACAGTTTTTCTGGTATTGTTGTTAGAGAATAATTTTAGATGGCAGTTTAATATTTGCTTAATATAATGCTTAAGGTAAAGCCTTAAAATCCAAGCAACATAACTTCAGTTCTTGTTTTCAGTCCTCACCTTTTCTGTTGTTCAGGTTGCTATGGGACACTGGGGATGGAATCTGGGGTGATTCCTGATTCCCACATCACATCATCATCTATTCTTGAGTGGCCTAACGAAACAGGACAAGTAAACATTTGGAAACCTGAAAATGCCAGACTAAAAAGGATTGGACCTCCTTGGGCTGCTTTTATCAGTGATGAACATCAGTGGTTGCAGATTGACTTGAATAAAGAAAAGAAAATAACAGGTACATGAATCTGATGTTGCTTCTCAGCAGCATTCAAAATTTTTGGTTACTGACATCCTTTTTTTCAGTTCTGGGCCTTAGATATAGCTTAGGTAGCACTTAATTACCGTTACACTTAATTTGCTCCCACCTCCTAGCTAATACACTGGGGAGCCTGGAGCTGAAGAGGTGTTGTTTCATAGACATCTCTAGATCACCTGCATTGCTAGATTCCAGACATCTCTTCCATCAGAATTTGTTGAAGTGTTTCCTGATGCTTCCCTTTTCCTGCTCATTGTCTCCGTGGAGGTGCAGATCAGAATCCAGTGAGCTCAGCCCACTGGTACCTCTGACACAGATGTACTGACTTGTGTTCCTAGGTTTTCCTTAGTGCCTGTCATGGCCACAGTGAATCTAACAGCAGGGAAAGGAGCATTTCCAGTGCAGTGTGAGGAAGCAGCAGACACAGGAGAACAGCTGGCAGCCTCTCCTTCAGCTTGTTGCCTCCTGTTGGGCTTGGGACCACAGCTGGGGACTGCAGCCCCCCTCCCAGCAGTCTCTGCCTGGCCTTACTTCAGCAAACAGGCCAAGCAGTGCAGGCTTAGCCAGCCAGGCTCTGGGGTTGGCCCTCCTCCTTCACACAGGAGTGATTTTAGCAGCTATCTTGTTTTGGAGACACAGCTGGAGGTGCTGTTTCCCAGGCTGCTCTGGATAGTTTGTTTTCTGTTCTGAGTTGAGCAACCAGCTCATGGTTACCAATTCCTGTTGTTGCCCACTGCAAGTAGCACTGAGGCATCTTGGGTTTAATCTCCAGGGTAGCTGTTGTACCTTCAGTGCCAGTGTTTAGTATTTCCTGGTTTAATCATTCAGAGGTGATTTGCTGTTGTTAATGGGCATGTTTGTCATCTGATGTAAATCAAGATTAAATTTGATTTAGGTGGAGTGCTTCATAGAGTCTGGGGCTTTAAGCCTATTGTGAAACATGTTCCGCTGATCAGTTTGCATTTGTCTCTTTCCAAAATGCCTGAGTTGGTCTGTGTAACCTCAGCTGCACACCCTGCTATCAACAGCATGGCTTGCTGTCATTAAGCAACTTGGATTTACCAATGGCCTTTGTTATTACCTCCCTGGGGACTCTTTGGATTTTGCATTACTCCTCTAATTCCTGTGCTAATAAGCTTTTCCAAAACAGCTTTCCTGTGTGAGTTGCACTGCAGTGTCAGCTGTAGGAGGCTGCAGTTCTTTTGGTGGTGCCTTTAGATTGGCAGTACAAGAGCAGGCAAGAGCTGTGTCAGAAGCTGGAGAGAGGAGTGGGCTGTGATCAAATAAAGGAGCTGTTTCCATCAAGAAACGGGGTGGGAGAATGGGCTTAGCAAGGTTATATCATGAAAATTAAAATACAGAGTAAGAAGAATGAGTTTACTGAGTTTCAGTCACTGTGGAAGCTTTGGACCCTGGCACTTCGGATAAACTTATTGACGTTAACTGGACCAGTGAAGACTCTCCACTATGCAACTCCTGATTCAAAAACTGATCTGTTAATCTTTACAAAGCTTTTTGTCCTAACTGGGTGCCTCAATTTTCACAGGTATTATAACTACTGGATCGACTTTAGCGGAGCACTACTATTATGTCTCAGCCTACAGAATTTTATACAGTGATGATGCACAGAAGTGGACAGTGTACAGAGAACCTGGCACGGGTAAAGATAAGGTAAAAATATCACATACTTTCTATGTATGCTCTATGGAGATTTCACAACTGTATATAGTCATTTTGGTATGGTGAGGAATCATTAAATAACTTCCATTTTTAGTGTTATTTTGACTCATAAACAGCAGATAAGCAGAAGAAAATATAACAATATGCAAACATGTAAGGATTTGAAGTTCTAAAATACAGATGTTTTTTCTATTACTATTTGGGGTTGGAATATACTTATAAGAAACTTATGTTGCCAGTGGTAGGCTGTCTGGTACTGCATCTCTTCAAGAATAATTTTATTTGTTTTAAAATAGGTTATACTTTTAAAATTAAGCTTCACTTTCTTACCCTCTTGTGGTTACAGAAAATAAATGTTACAGGTTGTATAATTTTTCATGTTTTCTAATGCTTACGTCAATCTTATTTTTTTTACCAAATACTATTAAGTTTCTTATATAAGAGAACAGCCTGTGCAGAAGGGGTATGTTCAGACTGCAAATATTTTGCCACACAGAAAAAGTCCCTAATTTTAGCAGCAAGATAATCTTATTTTCCCCATGTTCACAGCTCTGCAGTATTTTAATGGACTTCCCAATGGTTCAGGTCAGATTTTCTTCTTCATCTCAGAAATGACAGGATTCTTAGTAATGTGACTAAGGAACTAGACTTTCCTTCTTTCTCTTAAAATCCTTGGATGTAAGTTACTTTAGTTCTGTAGGCCTGTGGTATTACATACATATAACTGTAACTACTGGTCTGGTAGTTTTTTAGAAACAGGCTTTAAGGATGATCACTTTGGCTGTCCTTGGTCTTCTCTTTACTCTGGGTTAAGAGTGTTGCAAGGTAGGATGTTGCATCCTGTTGTTGAAGTAAAATGCTAAAGTTGGTTAAATGAAGAGATTTTTGAGCACTGAACATAATTGCAGTGGGAAACTCTTGAGAGAGAGGAGGAGAATTTCCTGTCGGGTCTGAGCCTACATGTGAACTAAAGTGATTGTTGGTGTGAAGTATTCAAGAAAAAAGGGAAAAAAACGGCATCTTTTGCTAGTTTTGACTGCCCTCTTCTGGCCATAAAATAAGATCTCAGCAAGCTGCCTAGATTTAGGCTTCAGTGTTAATTTGATAATTTTCTTTGAAAACCTTTGCAGCTATTGCCTTGAATTTGTGCGCATTGTTCCTCTTGCATGCTCATGAAATGAAACAAATTGTGGAGCCTGAAATTACAGGCAACAGATCTTTCATTGCACTCTGTGTGTCATTTAAGGGACAGGCATGAGGAATCATGTGTACCCAGGAAATGGCAGCTGCAGTTAAATGACAGAAAGAAATGGTTCCATTTGGTTCAAAGTAGCAGATTTTCTCTCTGTCTGCCATCACCTCACTTGATAAAGATTTGCTTTTGGATGCATCTGCTTGCAGGCTTCTCGCTTTTAGCATGCCAGACCAGCCAGGAGGTGCTAGTCCCTGGTTTTTTGAAACGTGTTTGGAATTCCTAACATTTTTCAGGAGACTAGAAGTTTTTCCAAGATTTTCCTGTAGTCATATTTGCAAATACCTTTTCGAGATTTGTCAGTACACAAAAACTTTTCTTAACTTTTCAGGAAATGAAAAAAGAGTAAATGCTTGAATTGAGGAAAAAGGACAAATCAGAGTTGCAGTGTTGGAAAAGCTTTGTTTAACAGCATGGGGGAAATGGAAAGAGTTTCATAATAAAAAGAACATGGAAGTGATTTTTCATTAAAAAGTTTGTATTGAGGTCAGAATAAACTATTTCTTAATGCAAAAATTAGGGTAACAAAAATACAGAGCTTCAGGTAAAGTTAAGTTACTTTTGTAACACTGGACATCAGAAGCTTGACTGATAAAGGCCTGGAGTAAAGATCTTTACTGTTAATCTTTCTTGAAGGTAAGAGTTGGCACCGATTCTTTTTGCCCTTGCTGTTACATGCTCAGAAACCTGACATGAGATTCAACTTTCAGAGTTGGGCATCTGTATCCCTAATCTGTAACCTCTCTATGTGTTGCTTGGGCTGACAAATGCACTTTCTTTTGGTGCTGGGCTCTGGCAGGCACAGCACAAGCAAGGATACAGTACAGCAGTTTGGGCTGGGTGCAACCCCTCAGGAAGTCACCTCTCTATTTTGCTTCTCACTTGCATCCTTACCAAAACAAAAAAATACTCTTTGGTGAGATCTGTAGCTACAAGTTTGTCATAAAAAAAAAAAGTAGTAAGGGAAAAGTGGCTGTAAATTGGAATGCAGTGTGCTGTTGGCACATGAACTTCAACTACTTGGTGTTATTCATTTATTTCCAAAATAACATCATAGGCTTAGCCCTGCATTTACTCTGTCTTCATTTGTTGCTACTGAATATATTTAAGAACGAGAAACTTAAATTCAGAGCAGGGACTTGTTTTGAATGGATAGCTTCCTAGAATAATTATTTCAGACCTCTAGGGATATTCTAGACATTCTGTTCAAAAACTCAGCAGTGCAATACAGAAATCTCTTCTCTTGTGTATCAAGATTGAAACAGCAATGATTTGTATTGATCAGAGATGTGCTAAAAGCTCTTGACTGCTCCATATTATGCAAACACATCAGCTGTTACACAATGCAGTGCTTGTCTTTAAGAATGGCAGGGTGCTTTATTGATTACCAAGTGGTGTGAGTGAGAAGAAAACTCTTGTAATACTGACTTTTTTCAGGCAAGTGCTACAGTTCTGTTCTGCGTTGTGTCTACCATGATTTGCAGTGTCTGTATCAGTGCTTTCAAAAGAAAGAACTCATTTACTGTCATCCCAGTGGTGACCTGTGTTGCAGCAGCACCACAGAGTTGCATGTGCAGGGCCAAAGCCCCACTGCGGAGCACTAACATGGAGAGGCAGCTCACTTCCTACCAAAAGACATGGTGCCAAACCAGTCCTCTTGAAGGAGAGGGAGAGTTGGAGTACTGGGCCAAGCTGCTGTATTGTTTTAAGCAGCTTAGGGGTGAAAAACCCATGGTTGGCTGTAAATCTGTCAGTGTGCTTACATTGCATCTCACAGGGACTCTGCTCGCTGCTTTTAAATTTCAACCAGACTCCTAGTGTACTGTCACATTTTGATGAGTTCTTTGTGTGCAAGGATGGCAGTGAAGGACCAGCTTGAGCTCATCCTTCATGCAGTCTGTGCCCTTCTCTTACAGAATCTCATGGCTCAGTGTGAGATTGAGGAGAGATTTCACGTTCTGAACTCGAATTCTTCTATTTTGTGTTGTGGCTCAGCACTTGTAGGCAGCAGCCACGAGAGGACAGTGTGGTTACACACTGGAGGGTGCCTCCCAATGCTTTCTAATGAATACCATCCTCAGACAGGCTGTGCTGAGCTGCTGGGCTGTGTGAAGGCACCACTTAATGCCTGCTTGCACAGTGTCACAACTCCTTGCTATCCACGTATATCTGAAGAGTAAGTGCAAAATAACAGGAAGGACCAAGTTAGAATGACTCAGTACCATAAACATGTGAGATGTGTGTAACAGCAAGCACTGCCTGGGGAGCATCAGTAGGATATTCCATGGTGCCTTTACTCTGAACTATGTAGCTGTGTGCATACATGTGCACACACCTTTCTTTGTTTTATTTAGTTGTAAATGTAATGAGGACAAGGATGTAAAGGGAGTGGATAAGTGCAGGCAGCAGCGCAGTTCTGGGGAGAATTGGATCCTTCACTCTTTATTCTTCCTAAATAAAACATCAAAATTGGTAGTACTTACTTAATTGCTATTGTATTTGTGGAACATAATGTTTCTCTCTTTTTTTTTTTCCCTTCTTTTCTAGATATTTCAAGGGAATACTGAATTGTACCAGGAAGTTCGCAATAATTTCATTCCACCTATTATTGCACGTTTTTTTAGGATTAACCCCTTAAAATGGCACCAGAAAATTGCAATGAAAGTAGAGTTGCTAGGATGTCAGTTTAGTATAGGTAAGACAACTGAAAACTTTCAACTGTGCAAGACAAGAAGTGAAACTTAAAAGTTATATCATGGATATATTTTCAATGAGTCTGAAGTAATTTTTGGTTGCATAATCCTTCGTTAACTGATTCTTCTTAGTTTATCCAAAAGTTATTACACTTAACCAGGAAAATACTGAATTTAGGTGTACACAAGATAATTTACAAAATAAGTGTTTCAAAAGATGCCAATCACTTGCTTTCCATGTCATCATTTCATTGGGGGGGGGTGGGGGGGTGGTGTTCCTCATTATATAACAAAATGCTTTATAGCAAACTGTTCCAGCTGTCTTCTCCTGAAAAGGAGATCAGGAAAATTAGTTCTTCCAAGAACTTACCTTATAAATTCTTTTCTTCTGAAGGTCGTGCTCCTAAAATCACCTTGCCACCACCACCACCTCAGAACAAGAATGACGAGAAGAATGCTGACTTCGTGGATGACTTCATTCATTCAGTGAAGACTTCACTGCAGACAGATAAAACAACTTTCACACCTGAAATAAAAAACACTACAGTGACTCCAAGTGTAACCAAAGGTATCCACCGTTAAACAGTAGAAATGTTTTGAACTCCTTATAGTGCTTTGGCATATATTAAGTGCTTTCTGCATTGAAATTTTCCCAAAACTTAACAAATTACAGCAGATGATCAATATTTTATTTCTAATATTTACAAGTTATTAAATACACATGATAACAGATGTGCAGTTTCATACTGCATGCAGAAACAAAACCAATCTGCCAAGTAATATATATAATATAAATGTATATACAATATATATTTTATAGATATATGTTCCATCTTCCAGAACTTGTTCAAACTGAGTTCAGCTTCTAATCACTGAACAGATTTTGTCAGAAGGAGAAGTTGTAACTTGGACTTACCTTCTGAATTAATCAGGTGCAACTGCTTTTTTTAATAATTTCTTAAAGCAAAACACCTTTGATACAGCAAATCTTTTCTGGAGCAGTCTTTTTGACATGGAATTTGAAAAACGTCACCCGACATAATCATTTTGTTTATCAAAGAAAATGGTCAGAAAAGGGAGCAAAGTGACTGCAGATGTGGGCACTGCTGAAGTGTCCTTTGGATGGCAGGGGACAAGATCACAGACTGATTGGGATTAACTGTTAAGGTACTGTAGAATTTACTTCTTAAAGGAGGTTCAAACTTACATGATGGCACTAAGGGATTTTCTGCATAAATAATAGAATACATTGTTGTAATGGAAAAGCTATATATTAAAACAAACTGGTTGATTTTGATGAAAAATCCTGCAAATGCACCAGCTGTGCATGTTTGTAGAAGAGACAGATGTGAAGTTTGCACTGTGGGAGCATCCAGCAGAGTAGCTTAGCTGGGGGATCTGGTGTGATAGACACTAAATGTGAAAACTGTGTGCTTTACCCAAGTAATTTTCAAATCAAAAATTGATTTATGAGCAGCTCTTTCTGTCTGACACCACTTAATTTAATGGCTTTCAGATGTGGCATTGGCAGCAGTTCTGGTTCCAGTGTTGGTGATGGTCTTCACTACTCTGATTCTTATCTTAGTTTGTGCGTGGCATTGGAGAAACCGGTAAATGAATAGATGGGTGGAAGTGCTTTAAATGAATGTTAGCCTGGTGTGTGGGAATGAAATGCTGCATGTATTTCTGGGAACTCTGTGGTCTGCACTTGTGGAAAGAATTGTATTCTCTCTGAGAAAAAAATTCACTTGACTAGCGAAGACAAAGCAGCTTTTTGTAACTGTTTTCATTAGAAGTGCTTTGACTAAAAACTGGTTTCTCTGGTAGCAGCAGACTGGTGATGGCAAGCCAAGTTACTGGTGCTTATGCATTAAATTTGAGGACCAGTTACAGCCAAGGTGATAGTTGCTGTGCATTAAATAATGCATCTTTTGATAAGCAGACTAGCTAAAATAACCTTTTTTCTTCTTTCTTTTTTTTTCACAGCAAGAAAAAAACTGAGGGCACATATGATCTACCTTACTGGGATCGTGCAGGTAACAGAATGGTTTTATGAAACCATTTACTCAGTGTTTTTTGTTCAATGTATATTTCAGATTGCTGTTATGGTTTCCACTAGCAGAAGCTTCTCTAATGCTAACTGAGGGAGGCATATCAAACACTGAATTACCTTTCTGGACAAACTTAACTGCACTGCTATTTCTCTGATTTCTTTTTTTCAGAAATAGTAAACACCATGTCTCCTGTTAGATCTGACTGCTTAAGGGTTTTTTTGTGAACAAAGTAGAAAACCTCTTAATCACACAACATGAGGGGAAAAAATTAATTTATATGGAATGGCTTTATACATTTGATAACCATTTATTTAGTACTTTTTTGTCATGGAAAAAAATCTTTCATCTTAGTGTGTAAGTTCTGTCAAAAATTTTCTCATCATTGCCCTAGTAAGCATGTGGGATTTAGGTATATCTTCCATCCTATTGTCTTGTAGGATGTCATAAATTGTCATAAACTTCAGATCAGACAACTGCACCAAGCAGCTCTTTGCAATGGTCCTGAAACCACCTGTGCCCCAGGTGCAAAGGGCAGCTGCAGTAGTTGGGTTGACTGTGTGTGTGACTGCTTCACTCCTCCTGTTGAAAACTTGCACACCCGTGTGTCTGCTCACGGGCAGTCTTAAGTATCTTGTCTATCCTGTAGTCAAGGAACCTTTTAATGACTTTTATTTGCTACATGTCTGTTTCTGAGAGCTCACAGCTCTGCTGTCCTAGGGTATTACTGAAAATAGTGATAATTGAGTTATTTACCTGCTTCAGCAAAATGCAAGCTGTGCTGAAAAATATTTTAGTAGCTTAAAACACAGTATATGTACAATCTTGGGTGGTTTTTTGTTGTTGTTGTTTTGTTTTTTTAATCTGTGTGAAGGATGGTGGAAAGGGATGAAGCAGTTTTTCCCGACCAAATCAGCAGAACATGAAGAAACTCCTGTACGCTACAGCAGCAGTGAAATCAGTCACCTAAGACCAAGAGAAGTCCCAACAATGTTGCAAACAGAGTCTGCAGGTACTTTATGTGCCACATTTTATATACATATATATATATGTATGTATGTATGTATGACATGCCAAAAACTGTCAGGAACCTGGCTACATTTAGTTATTATCTGGTTTTGAGGAGGAACAAAGGAGAAATTAATAGTTCTGTGGGTAAGCATATCTCTTAAAATGTAGGCATTTTCATGTCTGTTCTCTCATTTCACATGATATAGATACATGTTTGCCCAACATGCACTAACTGAAAGGTTCTTTATTAATTTTTAAACCTCATAAAGGGTTAAAGAATTCATTTGGTTATCTTTTCCTGCAGTGGAAATAATTTCATCACAATATTTTTATCCACAAATCTGAAATGTGGCACTTGATTCTCTACCCTCGGTACATGGGTTAAATCATACTTGTGATCTGGAAAAGGAGGGTTCATGGATAGTGGCACCTGCCCTTTCCCTGGTGACCCAGGCATGGGAGGAGAATGACTGCCTGTGCCTTTGGTTCCGTGCTTAGCTGCTGGTGGGCAGATGCGCAGGAATTACAGCTTCACTGCAGGCAGAATTACTTTTCTCCTTTTGGCTGCTTGTCTGTTTTTTCCAAGCTGATCAGGCTTTTCACCTCCAGCTTTCGTGACTCAGATTATCTGTTGAGCTAAAACATCTCAGACTCCGTGCAGGCTTCCCCCCTCAAAGGACAAACCCTCCACCCCAAGGACCACTTTTTATCCAGACTTGGGCAGAATAATTTTATTTAATTCTAATTTAAAGAGAAGAACATCTCAATAAGATTAGTTTTCAGGCAGATTTGCAGCATGGGAAATTGCAGCTCACCTGGGAAGAAGTATAAACCTGAGAAGTGGGGATGTTTTGGCTATCCCAATGGCTTTACCTATTGGGTGGAAAGGAGTCCTTTTCCAAAGAGACTGACACTGGTGGACAGATATGAACCACTGGTTTGATGTAGGATAGTGATCTATGGGAGACTACTGACAGGCTGTATTTAATGTGATGCTGCTGTAAAACAATCCATTAAGTGCGTTTATGTTTTGTTTTGTTGGGTCTTGCAACACAGAATATGCTCAGCCCCTGGTAGGGGGAATTGTGGGCACGCTTCACCAGAGATCAACCTTCAAACCAGAGGAAGGAAAGGAAGCCAGTTACGCTGACTTGGACCCTTACAATTCCCCCATCCAAGAAGTTTACCACGCCTATGCCGAGCCACTGCCTGTAACCGTACCCGAGTACGCGACTCCGATAATCATGGACATGTCCAGCCATCCCAGCACACCTCTTGGTGCTCCTTCCATTTCCACCTTCAAAGCTGCAGGGAATCAAGCTCCTCCACTGGTTGGAACATGCAATAAACTGTTATCCAGGACAGACAGTGCATCCTCAGCACAGGCACTGTACGATATACCAAAGGGGCAGCCGGGACCGGGCAGTGCCGACCAGCTCATGTACCAGGTGCCGCAGAGCGTGGCCCATCCCACTGTGAGTAAGGATGAACAAAGTTAGCTCATGAGTAAGGTACAATGATGGCTTGTTTCTAAAAGCCAGTTCCATAAAGCTCACAGTTTCACTTTTTAAATTCCATTGTGTTGGTATTGTTAGTCTTAAATAATACAACATTGAACCAAAAGATGTGGTATGGAAGGTCTGGGAAAACAGTAATTCTGCTTTTCCTTAGCTGTATGTACAATTAGCAGCTTGTCTCCTGCAAAGCCGTGGACTTTTTTATTACTACTGTACAATTGTCTGTCAGACATGAGAGAAGAACTCTTCATGATCAGCTCCAGTAATTCATAGATGTGAGTGATAAATTGGGAGAAACAGTTTAAGTACAGAAACCAGTTATTTCTTCCTAATGGTACTGTTTCTTGGGGAAAAACCCCCACCTCAATACCCAAAGCTCTTAATTTCTGTGCAAGCACTACAGCTTCTAAAATTCCTATTTTCCTTGTAAAATGTCTGCACAACTTTGGGCTTAACAATCTGCTATCAGGACTGATGGCAAAAATCCCTTTAGCTTCATGGCATAAAGTAGTTTTGATTCTGAATTACATTATTTCAGCCTTTGTTAACAGAATTGGGAATTTTCAGCTGTGTGTTCCTCAGAAGGTTCCTGCCTTTTTGGTTAGGTTAGCCTTCCAAAACCAGAAGCTGCTGTCTCTACAATCTCTTTTCTGCCTCTTTTCCTTAAGCCACTCAGTCTTCTTTGTTCCTAGGGATCCAGGAGGCACAGATTGACACAAGCACCTGGAAACTGCTTTTACATTTTACCCTGTACTGTAAGGGCCACTTGAATAGCATCTGCCTCCAAGTCAGTGGAGCATTTCCTTGATGCTCAGTGCAAGGAGTATCCAAGTCTTGCAGATGACTTGAATTGAGAAAGGCCCTGCCCTCACCCAGAGTGTCCATTATTCTGTGTTCAGGTGTGAGCTTATACAAAAAAAGATCTGTACATACTTTTGTGAGTGCTTAAGTAAGCACACAGATATTCTAATGGTGCACAGTTTGTGTTAGATATGCATTTAGCACATACGGTACGTTTTAGCACAACTGCCAAATTTAGCCTTAGGGCTTTTTTTATGATTGTTCTTACTAGAAGCATGAAAGATTCCAAAACCTTTGCAAAAGAACCAGTACTATTCCAAAGAGTGTCCATTTCAGACATATTTATTGGAGTTTGTATCCTTTGAATGTTCCAGTGTTCTGTACTATGAAAACATTGCAGTCAGTCATTTACTGGGATAGTGTAGACTCATTTTAGCCAGGTAATCACAAAATGAAAGCAGTCTGAATGGCATATTTTACCTTGTTAGAAAAAGAAAGCACACCTTTCTTACCTAGGTAGGAGAAAACCCCACTATAAAAATGCTGTATTTTTATTCTAACAGCACTTGGAAGGATGCTGAATCAATTCATACGTGTGGGACCCCCTCCCTACACAGTAGCCCAGTTTTATGGACTTCAGGGGTTACTTGTGAGTTGTTTGTGATGCAATTCAAAGCCTTGTTTACTGCCCAGGTCCTTAAGCACCATGGAAAAGGTCTGAACAGAAACCACAGAGCTGTTCAAGGGGCTGCCGCCATGCCTTAACGCCAGTACAGCATCCTCACTTACCGCTTGAAAATCTGTTTGCACAGGGGCTGTATATAAACTCTGCAGTCAAAAATCACTTGTGGCCTGTTCAGCATCTAAAATATGATATTATGTAGAATCATAGAATGGCTGGGGTTGGAAGGGACCTTAAAAATCACCGACTTCTAATCCCCTGCCATGGGCAGGGACACCTTCCGTTAGTTCAGGTTGCTCAGAGCTCCATTGAACCTGGCCTTGAACACTTCCAGGGATGGGGTAACCATAATTTCTATGTTGACCTGTTCCAGTGTCTCATCACTTTCACAGTAAAGAATTTCTTCCTTATATCTAACCTAAGCTCCCCCTCTTCCAGTGCGTACGCATTTCCCCTTGTCCTGTCACTGCAGTTCCTGACAGGGAATCCCTCTCCGGCTTCCCTATGGGCCCCTTCAGATCCTGGAAGGTTGCAATGAGGTTTCCACACACCCTCCTGTTCTCCAGGCTGAACAGCCCCAACCTTCTCAGCCTGTCTCCATAGGGGAGGTGCTTTACCAACCTCGTGGCCCCCTCTGCACTTGCTCCAACAGTTCCATGCCCTTCTTATATTGGAGACCAGAACTGGATGCAGCACTCCAGGCAGGGTCTCACCTGAGCAGAGGAGAATCACTCACCCTTCTGCTCCTTTTGATGCAGCCCAGAACCCTACTGGCTTTTTGGGCTGTGAGAGCACACTGCTGGCTCATGTTGAGTTTTTCCATCAACCATCACCCCCAAGTCCTTCTCTGCAGGGCTGCTTTCAGTCACTTCTCTGCCCAACCTGTCTGTGAGCCTGGGATTGCTCTGGCCCAGGTACAGGACAATGCCTTGTTCAGCTCCACAAGGTGCCAGCTCTCAGGGCTGTCCAGTCCCTCTGGATGGCACCCCTTCCCTCCATGCTGACAGCACCTGAGAGCTTGCTGCTGTGGGCAGACTCGCTGAGGGTGTGTTCAGTCCCACTGTCCCTGTCACCAACAAAGATGCTGAATGTTCTCCGAGCTACCTTAAAGCCCAGTTCTGCAGTTTCTGGTGATCCATTCTCATTCATTGAGAATGACATTTTTTTAATTATTTAAGCCTAAATGTGAATGTAAGGATGGTAAATAAGACCCATTTGTGAACAGCAAATTTCTGCCTATAATTGTACTTTTGATATTACTGCAGCTTTTTCTGCCTGAAGTAATAGTCTGCAATCTTTATAGTTTTGCTTAAATAGGTAACTAACTGTTCTTAGCTATCAGCAGCAACTATGACTGAAATTATCTGAGCTGATTTTATTTCAAGGGTGGGAAGTTGTTAGTTTCCACTAGGATGTGACAATACAGCTACAGCCAAGTTAAGAAACCTCTCCATTTTCAACCTGTACCAGTTTAGGCTTAGAAAAATTAATCCACCATAAAAATAAACGATGTGTCCAAGCCAGTATAAATAGCACACCTGGATTTAATTTTTACTGCTGACCAGGAATGGTAGAACTGTGGATAGCTGAAGACTAAGGTGATGTAAGAAATAAGCATTTTCTCTACAGTGGGTTATTTTTTAAGCAAACATAATGCAACTTCATTATCTGAGGAGCATGAGCTGTTAAAGAAATGGATGTTTTTAAAATTCAAGCCCCTTTCTGGGAGGAATTTGGTCCCAGATTTTGCTCCTGCTTCAGACTTTGGACATGTTATCTGCTAAGGCTAAGATATGTTTGGACATGCAACAGTTGGGTTTAATTGCATGACACACTAAGACTAGAATTTGTCTGTGTACAATAAAGCAAAGGTACATTTCATGGGTCTCTCTTATATGTGAAGACATGTATATAAAATGTATTTCAATCTTGTTTGGCTTGAGTATTCTCCCAGAATGTATGTTCTTACCTCAGCATGTATTGTAGTTGCTCAGTATTTGTATATGTTGCTAGGACTTAGACTGTATAAATAGTGAGGGGGTTTTATATGTTAAAAGGTATTTTAAATAAATTGTACATACATATTAGTCAGTATGTTTGCAGTTAAAACCTGCCTTGTATCTGAGTTTCCTGGCAGCAGGGGCGCTGCTTCCCATCCCCAGTCAGCACCTCTGCACTGCTGGAGAGGCTGCTGCTGCTGGTGCTTTCTCCTCCTCTTCATATGAATTCCAGTGCTACAGTGCCTCAAAGAACTCAGTCATAATTGCTCTTTTGAGTAAATGTAGGGTGAGTTCGCAGTGTCTCGTTGCTCTACCACACACTTCAAATGTTTCTTAAAATATCAAAGAAAAGCACACAGTTAGAACAGTGGATGCTGACCTGTGGGGAGATGAGCACTAAGGAGTTCTACTGCACATGAGAGTCCAGTGTCAGCTTTATGAGTTGTCTTTTCCTTAGGTAAGAATTGAAACAATTGTTGATAATGTAATCAACTTGTAACCAATCTCAACTTGGAGAGATGCACAACTATCACTTTAATGAAACCACATGATCAGTAACCAAATTCTGATCTAAAGAGGGATACAAAACTTGAAACTGGTGTCATTTTCTGCATAACCAGAAGTTCATACTGACTCTGGTGCCTTGAAAAAGGAAAGGAAGCATTTTTTCTGCACATGTAATTACAGTATTGCATGTGAACTGGATGAGACTCCTACTTATATTCTTGTTTAAATACCAGAAGATTAGAACAGCTTTAAGTGTCCGTTCTGCAAACTGACCTGAACTAGAGCAAGCACACCTCCACAACTGTATGATCAAATTACAGCACAATCAGAATCTCCCTAAAACCAAACTCAATGTTGTGATATTTTAGCTTTTTTACCTTTGTACATGGCTTGATGCAAGACATAGTCCAAACTGGTCAGGATGCAGCTGAAGGAGAAGGTGAATGGCTGTAGGTCAGGTTGCACACTAATACAATGCCACAATACATAAAAGTTATTTATAAAGTCTTACATAATTTTCTAAGTGCCTACAGATCACTTGCCTTGCTCCTGAGCGTGCTACAGCTTCATAAGATTTTAGTTTTCCAAAACCAGCTTTTGGCAACAACAGGCTGAGTGCCAGAATCCATTCTGCTCAGGATGGCATCTTCATTCTGGACTATGCTAGTACATGGGGCTTTCTGGAACAAGGGAAAAGGTTAAAGGTTATTAGTTAAAAAAAAAAGAATGCTGTATGTATAAGGAACCTGATCCCTATCTAAACCAGCTGATACAAAGGCACGAATGATTAAACTATTCTTTCAGAAGTCTCAAGCCCTTGTACACCTTCCCTTTATAACCTCTCAAAAGTAGATTCAAAGTTATGGTCTGTACTGCTGGACCTTCAGTAACCAGGATTTTTTTCCCCCCCTCCATCAAAAGTCACACAATTACCCAGCTGTGAATGGGGGATAAGAAGGCACTGGATCATCCAATGAAGTCACCTGCAGTTGATATGAGCAGCTGCCTTTCTGCTGGAAGAATATCCAAGATTAGAATCTTGTTTCTGATAAAGAGGCACTTAGAAGTATTAAAAAGTTCCTCATGTCCTACTCATCTTCTGGGTGGGGCAAGATTTGTGGTGTCCCTCATCCTTCAGCACAATGAATACACTTACCTAAAAAACTTAAGCTGGGAGTGATTTTTCATGTGTTGAAGAAATTCTAAATCCTCTCTAGTGCAGGTATAATCTCTTTGTACTCTTCCTATACTTGCTTCACTGAAGCCTGCTCACAAAGAAATACATGCTTTTTCCTAAAGTGAGGAGTTCTGCCAACTTTCTGATGACCAAAACACCAGATGCAGAGGGGAGGAAGAATAATTTACTGAAACACATCCACCTCTGAGAAGAGCTCAGCTTCATGTGAACCTGCTCAAGGGAGGAAGGCAGGTAGAGGCCAGCAGGAGAGAAGTGGAACAACTCTCCCAACACATTCCCTATTAATACTTTTGGAAGCTGATTGCTCTCCCTGACACCTGCCAGTGACTCCAAAATTTTGCAGTCCTGTTTTCAGTGGAGGTTTGTCATATCGACTTAGAGGGAACGGTTTATAAAAGGTAAACCTTGTGTCAACAGTAAGTAACATTTCTTAGCTGCCAAAGTCATGGAAAGCAACCTGCTTTGCATTTTGGGAACTAAGGAGCCAAAAAGAAATTTCCATAGCAATTATTAGGAGCAAGTGAGGAATGGCTACAAAGAAGACAGAGCAGAGGGGATGTTAAATGTGTGTTTTGTAGTTCAGGATCAAAAGGCAGACAAATTTCGCACATTGCCTCTAAGTGGCAATAAAGAAAGTAATTAAGAGCCTAGTGCAAATAAACAGAAAAAGCCACTGATATTTTGTACTCCTTCATATTTCAAAGGGACTGAAACCAGCCTTACTTTAAAAGTCACTTCTGCTCTATCACAGTAAACTCACTTTAAGGGAAAGATGAAAAATAGACAAACATCACTGTAAAAGTTGGTACAGAGTTCGAAACCAGTGTGGAGTGTTACACAAAATACACTTAAAGGAAACTGACCAGAAAAAAATAAGAATAAAGGTTTTCTACAGTTACCTACAGGTCAAATTCTACCATTCAGGCTAGGACAGAGCTGACGCCAACACCACAGGAACATGTGGAGTTTATGATGTCTTTCTTTGTTTTGCCTTAACTGCGATTCTCTCCTCTATGTTGTTCCATTTTCTTTTGAAAATTGAGAAATCCTTCTCTTATGTCCAGGGAAATCCATCTCAAAGCTCCATCCCACAGAAGATCCCCTCCCAAAGCTACAGAGTGTGAATGGGAACTGAATCAGGAATGTATTATTTACATTCACCACAGTCTAGTAGGTAGCAGTACCTTGAACAGGAGCTTATCCAGGCATGGAAACAACACGTGTCCTGAACTGGTTTGTGATGTTCAGTCTCCTGACACAGCAGTGAAAACTCCTGATTCACAGGAATCTTGGTGAGATCTTGTTTTTAGCTCCTTTTGTGATTATTCAGTATCAGAAATAACAACATTGTAAAATACAAAAGTGTAAACTCACTTGTCTATGTAAAACACCTATGATAGAATATAGCTGGAATTCATTCAGGTTTGCATTGCAGAACAAAAATTAGAATATTCTCCAGATGCTGAGACAAAATACTTAAAACAGGCCTCTGCTATTTTCATCAGGTTTTACAAATACAATTTTAGAACAAAAATACCAAAACACAACAAAAATCAAATCCCGAA